GCCAATTTCAATGGCAACATCTAGAGGGTTTGCTATATCAACACCGGCAACCTGCAGAACAGGAGCCGGGTCAGGAAAATATTTACCACTCAGTTTCCGTACTTTTTTCCAGACTGCACTCAGAGGAAGCAGAGGTGATGGTGGAGACATAATCTCGCCAGCAAGTGCGTTTAGTGTCATGGATGACACAGTGAGCGATCGCACGCTTCTGCTTAAAATCAAGAAGTCTCTCAGTGGTTCTATTATACCGGTACCTGCCCCACGCAGCGCGTTTCAAATGTACTGCACGAGCACAAGCAGGAGACCACAAAGGCATGCATTTCTGAGAATGCCTGCCCGAGGTTTGGGGTATAGAATGAGAAGCTGCGGTTAAAATGGAGGACAAGAAGAGGTGTAAAAGCTCATCAATGGAGGACGAAGAAGGAACCTCACTAAAAACAGTTAGTTGTGAGTAAAGGTCCCAATTTGCCTGATCAAATTGCCAGCGTGGGTTACGAAGAGGTGGTGAATATGAAGGGGAAGTAAGAATGATTGGAAAATGATCGCTGTCATGTAAATCCGGGAGAACAGACCAGGTGAAGTCTAGTGCGGTGGAGGAAGAGCAGACTGAGAGATCGATGCAAGAGAGAGTATGAGTACGAGGATCAAAATGGGTGCGAGTACCTGTATTTAAAACATGGAGGGGGTGGGAAGCAAGAAAAGCCTCTAGCTGAATGCCACGGGAATCACAGCGAGACCCCCCCCCCAGAGGAAATGATGGGCATTAAAATCGCCAAGTAACAGAAGTGGTGGCAGTAATGACGAAACAAGAAAGGCAATATCTGGAATAGATAATGCTCGAGAAGGAGAGAGATACAAAGAACAGAGTGTATACCACCTATGCAGGTGGATACAGACTGCTGTGTAATGCAGCAAAGTACGAACAAATAGCTGATGGCACGGAATATCAGTGCGTAGAAGAAGGGCACTTTCGGTGAAGGTCCCATCAGGAAAAGGATCCGAAGAATACAATAAATTATAGCCTGAGATGGAATAGATAACAGCAGAGTGTAATTTTGGTTCTTGTAAGCAAACGCCAACAGCGGAAAATTGGAAGAGCAACGTCTGAAGCTCACCCCGATTACCCGAGGCCGCGCATATTCCACTGTAAATAGGCCATGATTGGCAACGATAAAGATACTGGAAATCAGCAGGTAAGGGTACTTACGAACTAGAGGGGTTAGAAAAGTCCACGTGCGGTGGCAGCGGAAAACGTTCAAGCAGTGAAGGAACGGTGCGCTGTGAAGAAAGGAGTTGCACAGATGGAGAAGAGGAAAGAGAAGGAACAGAGGGTGGATCAGTGTCCATTGATGGTTTGGTCTCTGAAATATATTCAGAGATTGCTTCAAGTGTTTTGGAGTTCAGAGACGTTGTATAGGAGACAATGTTGGAGATGGAAGGAGTAGGAGTTTGAGTAAATATCGGAACTGTAATGGACTGTACCAAAGTAGGGGGGGCGAAAGGGTGGAGGGAACTGGAGAAGTGTGGGAGGGGACAGAAGAGGCAGAAACCTGCGAGGTGGCAGAAGAGGAAGGCACAGTATGAGGAGGATGATGAACCTCCACACTTGTAACAGAGTCAGTGAAAGGGGAAGACCCAGGTACAGAGACCGGGAAGGTAAAATGTGGAGGTGGATGAAGGGAAGGAGATTTTTTGGACTTCTGAGAAGTAGAGGGAAGATTGGGAGGAGGTGTCGTACGAGGTCCCGTCGATACCGGGGTTTGTGAGGGAGAACACGAAGAAGTGAGAACAGACTGAGGTGTTGAAGTAGGGACGTCTGAGCCCAGGACAGCAAAAGAATTAGATACAGGAGTGACTATGGGACTGGCAACCGCAGAGGAGGCTGCAGAAGATGGGACCCCAGAAGTAAGGGGACGTTTTGAAACACGAGAATAAGAAACATGGGGTAGTCTCCCTTGGAGGCGGAGATGAGAAACTGCCATATCATAAGAGAGACCTTCTGCCTCTTTGAGGCAACGAATTTCCCGCTCATTTAAGTAGACCTGGCAACGGCAAGAGTACGAAGGGTGAGCCTCATGACAATTAGGGCAAGAGGGAGGTCGACTGCAAGATGTATTAGAATGGTCATCGGCACCACAGACTGGGCATTCGGCTATAGATCTGCAATATTTTGCTGGGTGGCCAAATCGCCAGCAATTTCTACACTGTTGAGGTGTAGGGATCACCTTTCGAACTTCTAACCTATGTCCTGCTACATAAACAGAGGATGGGAGTTCACGGCTGTCAAAAGTTAAACGATCCACATTGCAAGGGTATCGTCTCCGCCCACGATCAGGAAGAACGTAAGTGTCTACCTTGAGAATTGGGAGATCTTGGAGTTCCAGCTGTTCGAGAATGTCATTGCCACATGTCTGGAAATTCTGTTGGACTATGGTATGGGGCAGAATAACAGTACCACTACAAGAACTGAGGGAATGATGTTTTTCGATAGTGATAGGAATAGTATCGATATGTGAAAGAAGAGAAAGATCACGAGCTTGGGTAGCATTCTGGACTGTGATGATGCGCATACCACTCTTAAGAGCATGAAAGGAAATATCTCTACCAACATGGCGTAGGAGAGCTTTGCCAATACTATGGTCAGAAAGATAGGCAGAAGAAGAAGTCGGTCTTAAAGTAAAGAATTTAGTCCATTGCGTGGTCCGAAACCGAGTGTGGAAAGGAAGTGCATGACGTGTCGGTCTTTTACTGAGTAGAATGGGAAGGTAACGAAGTAACATAAGGAGATTGTCGTTGGCGTTTAGAAGTGGGACCAGAGTTGGTCCAACGTGGGACGGGCTGGCAATTCGAAAATCGCCGCACTGTAGAGGGAGAGGCCGGAAGCATAGTCAAAAGAGAGCAGAGGTCAGACAAATAGTAGGAGTCAGTTGAAACCCCGGCACCTGAAGCGGGTGACGAAACAGCACCAGCAAGAGGTACAGGGGCCTTAGGAGTGTCCGAAGAGTGGCCAAAAGACAAGGCGAGGTCAGAATGGGGTGTGGTAACAATAAGGGGCCCGGGGGTAGCGGGGTCATGGATTGGGGACTCCATGGTTAGGTTACTTCTTTCTTTTTGTTTTTAAGAAAAAAAAAAAAAAAAGAAAATAAAAATAAAAAAAAAAATGAATAAAAAGGGGGGGACCGGGGAGGGATAGTTCCTAGGAGGAATGAAAGGGCCAGAAATCTTCCTCAGCACCCAAGAGGACCTCAGCACTGCAAGTAGCGCAGATGCAGCATGGAACCCATGCCATACCCTACCCATCATGCCAGTAAACCAGCAATCCGGGATAGCAACCTCACATCTACCGAGCTACCTCGGTGGACAAAAGAGAGGGCGGCTGGATATCCGCCACAAAGCATACCTCCTTCAGCCATCACCCCCGTAATCCGAAAGGTGGCTTCCAGAGATACACCCGTCGCCCGAAAGACACCCGATACTGGAGAGGTATCGGGACATCCCCAGGCGATCCAGATTCCACAGCAAACTACGCTACTGCCAAGAACCTCAATGGAATGGGATGGACCCCGATACCCTTTCCCCTACCTAGGAACTAGCACGCCTGTGGGAAAAATCCCAAAGGCCAAAAAGAGGAAGGGCAAAAGGAAGGGGTGGGGAGGAGGAGGAGGAAAGGAAAAAGGGGAGGATGGGATAGGGAAGGGGGGATTGGGGGGTAATTAGGTTCGGTCTGAAGAAGGAGACTGACAGGTCTAATTCCTCAGACCAAGAGCCTCTTCACCACGCCAAGGAGCCCCCCTTGAAGAGGCCCAAAACGTATAACAAATGATCAAAATCACAAAAAAATTCTCGGGTTATCACTGTCCTGTTGTTATTGCTGGAAGAGTTGGTTGGAATGGCTGCAATGGCTCAAGAGTCTGTGTTGTGAAATTGACTACCAGAATGTTTTTGTAATTTTTTTTTTTTAACACACTGGCTCTCTCCCACTGAAGTACTGTGACCCAAAAAAAGAAACACTTTAACCATCATTCATACTATCACTGTCTTGCCAGTGATGCACAGATACGAGTTCAGATGTCTTTCCAAACAGCAACTATCTCCACCCCACCTTTAGAGCACAAAAGCAGAGGGTGGAGGGAGGCAGGGATGAGCACATATAAACAGCCTTGTTTATCACAAGACAAAAGTTTAACAACTAAATTAGCACAAATTATATACAAAGTAGGTTCTGTTAGGTAAAATTACTCAAGTGCAACTAATATGACATTTTATTGTGGCAATGTTTCACTCTCCAGAAGCTTTATCAAGCCGTTATGGTAATGGATTGACAAAGCTCCAGGAAAGCAAAGTGTTGCCACAATAAAATGTCACATTAGTTGCACTTGTGTCCTTTTACCTAACATATTGTTGGTAATTCTACCAACATTATTACAAAGTAGGTTCTGTATACACATTATTTCCAAGTTCCTCTCAATTTTAATCTTCATTATGCACCTGAAGAGAAGCAGAGGGTGTATAAATAGTAGTGGTAGTCTTTCTCACGGACAGATGCAGAACTTGTGAACCCAGTTTATAAACATTACCCCCAGTATCCTCACAATGATGCAAAGGATATTAGACCTGTGACTCCTGCGATAAACAGTTTATATATAAACACTGAATACTGTGGTGGTCTTACAAACTTCAAATGCAAAGATGTATTATGGTAGTGCCACAAGATCATCCCTTCACATTATTATTAATCACTGACATCTGTATAAATACACTTAGGATAATTACATATATGACAGATACAGGAATGAGTAGTTATAGTGAAATTATCGGTTACTAGCCTTCATGTGTACTGCCTTTTAACTATTTTCACCTAAATTTATGGTGTACTCAGACAATATGCAGTAATTTTTTCATTCGAGCTACGTCACATGTTAATTGATGGTTTACTGCAGATAAAAGCGAGGTGGAGAGGGAAAGAAGCGAAGAATGGGAAATTATTATTAATGGTGATGTATATAATTATCACACACACAAAAAAAAAAAAAAAAAAAAAAAAACATTTAACCTAAGTAGTTAGCTTAACGTGGGTAATGAAAACAAAGCGTGCCATTTATTAGCACAGTACATGTATATAGTAAGAGTATAGTGATTACCGATTTAATAAATTAAAATCCTGCGAAGGAAAATAAGCCATGCTACCTTAAGTGTTGTCAGTTGTAATGCTTCCACAAGTTACTGACATAAATTTGTCTTCTACATGAAGTCTTTGATGTGTGAGGCAATTGATGTCTGAAGAACAGATAAGAGTTTGAGGACAAAAAGCTTTTTAGACAGATTGAACAAAGACATTTTCCATTCATAATGAATATAAATACAGTACTGTACCTTCAATTTAATGTTTCTTATGGTATTATTTTTGTCATGTGCAGTATCTGGTATAGTATATCATGCCTAAATTCCTTGATCCTTCTCAACTGTTAATGATGTTCAATATTTTAGTCTAAGGTTTCTAAGATTACTGATAACAATAATAATTAAAGAAAAAAAAAAACAGGTATTTCCACTGGAAACCTGCTCAGTTACAGCAGTTAAGTTTAAGATGTAGATAGAGTGAAGATCAGATGAACACACCGGTGACTATTTCACGAGATCATGAGTACATATTCTTATGGTCATAAATCAACTAAGGAGAATTCACTTTACCCCACTGGACATAAAAAAAGACCACTAGGAATATTACATTATTGTCAATGACTTTACCCATAAAAGTTTCTCAAGTACTATATTCCAATTTTCACAAAATTCTCAGTAAAAACTACTTGATCATACCCAGTTGTTTCATGTTGTCAGTCAGGACTTTAATATTATCATTTTGGTGACTCTCTATATTAAGGTTACGTAATGGGTTCTTGGCCGTGCGTGTATGCCACACTAGAATATCTGTACACCCATTAGCTTTCACTTCAATTTCATTTATGTTTATATTTAGAGATTTAAGAAATCCATCTTCTTCATGTCCAGCTATATAAGGCATTGTCACTTTTTTCTGAAAGCAAAAAGAATAATTAGTTGGATGAAAAATTAAAAGCAAAGCTGGAAAATCATTGGCTAAGGCATGCATTCAGAAAGGGGAATACTATATATAAGCATGAAACTAGAGAAAAGATTTTCCAAGATAGTAAAAATTCAATTAATATAATTTGGATAAACTTAAAAGAGCCCAAAGATTCTTCTTAATATGAGCCTAAAAAATTCTCAGAAACTAAAACAAATATGAAGAATGACAACTAGATGAATTAAATCACTGAAATTTGGAGAAAAACAAATAAGTGACAAACTTTCTACAAATGTGCAGTGACAGTCTCAGGAGTTGTGTACCCTCTGATGCTTAATCAGCTACAAGTGTTTAGGTCACTAGGGTGGAATAGTAACTTTCCTATCACACGAGCGTGAAAATAATCATATTACTACCCATCAGGAGGGTGGGAATGCTACAGGCAGTCTCTGCTTTATGAATGATCCCTTTATATGAAAATTAGCTATAACTAAGGTAGGATATTCAGGTGTAAGAGGAAGACTAGTGCTGTAAGGTGTAAATGTTGACACACACTCCTATGGATGTCACCAAGTCAAGCCACTTTTGTATTAATGTTGGTACTCTGACAGCATCAATGTAGCTTAGCATAATGTGAAAGAAATGTTGTAAGTTCTTCAATATGACAAAAACTAGTGGGGGTGGACTCCCACTAGTTTGTACTGAAGGAGGGGGATAAATGCAACCACTGAGAAACACAAAAGTAGTGATACCCAGTTGCTTTGGGAACCTGACAGGTCTGCAGCATACTGGGTTTGAGCAGCTAGTGGTTGTCCAAAAGCAATTTTGAGCTCTGAGGAAAGTGTATGACCATGCAGAGGTTGGTAGAGGGTATTGCAGGAACTTGGGCACCAGGAGAATTAACTAATATCTTGCTTATCATAAAGTAAAAAACTGGAGCAACATCCCAAGAATAAACAAAAGGAAACTAAATACAGTAACTGTACCCACCCTAAACCACAATCACAATCTATTACCCTACCTGTTGAACAACACAAGGATGGCACTTCCAGAACTGACTAAGAAAGGCTTAGCAAAGTTGCCTGTTTAGACAAGAGCTCAAACTGTGTCTGTCTTTCAGCTAATAATGACAGCAGGGAAACCAGAACAAACACCAGGAGTCATACACTTTTGGATGCCACCCCAGGATCTGCTGGAAACCTCCAGCAAGACTTGTCTTCAGAAGCTCTGCCAGATGGCTGGCTGATATCTCACCAGAGGGTCACCTGACATGCTTTTTGATGATACAATTTCCAATGGGTAGAGTGATAACCACCACAGCTCTACCAGTGGAAGCTACATTTGAACAGAGCCAACATTGATTCCTTTTCCCTTCTAAGAGCTGAATTTCACAAAAGGGTAAACATTCTCACTAATGAAATCAAAAGCAGAAGGAGAGCCAGGGAAGTATTTAGATTCGATCTGAGGAAGTGGAGGTAAAATTCCTCAGATCAAGACCTTCTTCCTCGCAGCAAAAGACCCCCCCCACTCTATGGAGAATTTTGAAAACAAATTCATACACTGAATGCATAATTTGCATTAACGAATGTCTAATCTTACCCTGCCTGTATGAAGGTGGCATGAAGTTCTCATTCTATACACGTACCTGCTGTCAAACATTTGTTTTAAAACAAGTGGCACTTCTTGCAAGAAGGTACAAGTGTATTGTTCCCATCAATACAGTGAAGGGCTCTCAATCTGAGAAACAGGAGCAATTTTCCACTTTCCTGAATAAAATGTAGTTACCTCCCATTTCTCAGGCAATGTATGACCATTATGGCCTTTCCCATAAATATAATAAAAAGTAAACTCTTGCTTTATCTTGCTAAGCCATAATATTATTTTACATTCGACTCTACAAAATTAGTTCTGAAAGGCCAATAAATGACGAATGAAGTGGTGCAAAGGCCAAGAGGTAGAACAATACTTTCATAAAAAAACTAATGTTTTCCTGCTAGTTGACAATGTTCAAAAAAAGAGGAGGCTGTTCCATTCTCTCTCCCAACTTGCATCAAAACTTCATTAAATTTTGCCACCAATTCTTAACCTGCAGCTTTTCAGATTCCTCACAGTTTCATCTGTTAACATCCTAGTATGCTGAGATAATAAACCCTTAACCAATTTTAACATGAAAATTTAATATATAAATCTTAGTAACTTTGAAAACAATTCAGTAGCAACTATTAATAATAATAATAATAATAATAATAATCACCTGTTTCTTCATATAGCCAACACCAACAGCAAATCCAGCCATGTCCACCTGGAACTTTCTGCCTGCTGGCCACCCATCATAGAATCCAACCACTTTTCCCTGGGCAGAAAAAAGTAAGTTTCTGTAACATTTTTTTTCCTTTAATAGTCATTTACAATAATATGTACTTGAAATTGTGATAATGCACATGTTAATGCTAAAGAAATATAAATGTATTATCTATGATAAGGTAACCACAATGGTAAAACTAAAGAAAGAATTTCAATACTATGATACAGGTCAGCCATCACAAAGCCAGCAATCAGATATCCGGTTCCATCAGCTATACGGCACTAATTTCAGCTAGCATAATTTCAAATTTCCAGGGTCGCCACATCAACCTGCTGCTACTGCTTGGTGGCACTACTTGCTGCACAAGTCATTCCAATTTCTTTTTCTCCATTTATTGTTATAACTTGCTTACTTTTAGCCCTACCCATGGTTCCAATGAATAAAAGAAATGCTTCTCGTTGTGTAAAGCACCTACACAGTACATTGTCCATTAAAGATAAAGTGGCTTTGAAGCCACTGTCGGTTGCCATGATCTCAGTCTCGTGATGCAGGGGAATATGCTTTGTTATTACGCTAATATCAACACTATGGCTTATTTGCCTATCACAATTGATCTAATATGACATAATAAACAATATAAATAACATAAAAACATGTTAAATATTCCAGGATGAATAATATTTGGCATAATACCGAGCAGTTCGATGGAGGCATGAAGAGGATATGGGATACAAGTACCATTCTCCCATCCCTGTCCTGGGTGCTTATATTAGCAAAAATGGAGTATAGCACAGGGCTAACTGTGATAAACCTGGAGTTTACCTGGAGAGAGTTCCGGGGGTCAACGCCCCCGCGGCCCGGTCTGTGACCAGGCCTCCCGGTGGATCAGAGCCTGATCAACCAGGCTGTTGCTGCTGGCTGCACGCAAACCAACGTACGAGCCACAGCCCGGCTGGTCAGGAACCGACTTTAGGTGCTTGTCCAGTGCCAGCTTGAAGACTGCCAGGGGTCTGTTGGTAATCCCCCTTATGTATGCTGGGAGGCAGTTGAACAGTCTCGGGCCCCTGACACTTATTGTATGGTCTCTTAACGTGCTAGTGACACCCCTGCTTTTCATTGGGGGGATGTTGCATCGTCTGCCAAGTCTTTTGCTTTCGTAGTGCAACATAAAACAAATAAAAAACTATTTTCTCTACATAGATTATCACACACAGCAGCATATGTGTAGAGAACCTAGGATAACCCAAAAAAAGTCAGACAAAGTGGCTTGGGCTAGCATACATGATTTTTGGTAAATATTCGATTTCCAGCCAGGGTAGAAACATTGGGCGTGCTTCTTTACACCTGTTGTCTATGTTCACCCATCAGTAAATGGGTACCTGGGTGTTAGTGGACTAGTGTGGGTCTTATCCTGGGACACTGACCTAATCTGCCTGAAATAGTAGTATGTCACTGATGTCGGCTAGGCCTGTAAACCATGTACATGTACTTGTAGTAAATTATTATTTATTTATTATCACACTGGCCGATTCCCACCAAGGCAGGGTGGCCTGAAAAAGAAAAACTTTCACCATCATTCACTCCATCACTGTCTTGCCAGAAGGGTGCTTTACGCTAGTTTTTAAACTGCAACATTAACACCCCTCCTTCAGACTGCAGGCACTGTACTTCCCATCTCCAGGACTCAAGTCCGGCCTGCCGGTTTCCCTGAACCCCTTCATAAATGTTACTTTGCTCACACTCCAACAGCACGTCAAGTATTAAAAACCATTTGTCTCCATTCACTCCTATCAAACACGCTCACGCATGCCTGCTGGAAGTCCAAGCCCCTCGCACACAAAACCTCCTTTACCCCCTCCCTCCAACCTTTCCTAGGCCGACCCCTACCCCACCTTCCTTCCACTACAGACTGATACACTCTTGAAGTCACTCTGTTTCGCTCCATTCTCTCTACATGTCCGGACCACCTCAACAACCCTTCCTCAGCCCTCTGGACAAAAGTTTTGGTAATCCCGCACCTCCTCCTAACTTCCAAACTATGAATTCTCTGCATTATATTCACACCACACATTGCCCTCAGACACGACATCTCCACTGCCTCCAGCCTTCTCCTCGCTGCAACATTCATCACCCATGCTTCACACCCATATAAGAGCGTTGGTAAAACTATACTCTCATACATTCTCCTCTTTGCCTTCAAGGACAAAGTTCTTTGTCTCCACAGACTCCTAAGTGCACCACTCACCCTTTTCCCCTCATCAATTCTATGATTCACCTCATCTTTCATAGACCTATCCGCTGATATGTCCACTCCCAAATATCTGAATACATTCACCTCCTCCATACTCACTCCCTTCAAATCTGATATCCAATCTTTCATCACCTAATCTTTTTGTTATTCTCATAACCTTACTCTTTCCTGTATTCACTTTCAATTTTCTTCTTTTGCACACCCTACCAAATTCATCCACCAATCTCAGCAACTTCTCTTCAGAATCTCCCAAGAGCACAGTGTCATTAGCAAAGAGCAACTGTGACAACTCCCACTTTATGTGTGATTCTTTATCTTTTAACTCCACGCCTCTTGCCAAGACCCTCGCATTTACTTCTCTTACAACCCCATCTATAAATATATTAAACAACCACAGTGACATCACACATCCTTGTCTAAGGCCTACTTTTACTGGGAAATAATTTCCCTCTTTCCTACATACTCTAACTTGAGCCTCACTATCCTCGTAAAAACTCTTCACTGCTTTCAGTAACCTACCTCCTACACCATACACCTGCAACATCTGCCACATTGCCCCCCTATCTACCCTGTCATACGCCTTTTCCAAATCCATAAATGCCACAAAGACCTCTTTAGCCTTATCTAAATACTGTAAACACCTGGTCCACACACCCACTACCTTTCCTAAAGCCTCCTTGTTCACCTGCTATCCTATTCTCCGTCTTACTCTTAATTCTTTCAATAATAACTACCATACACTTTACCAGGTATACTCGACAGACTTATCCCCCTATAATTTTTGCACTCTCTTTTGTCCCCTTTGCCTTTATACAACGGAACTATGCATGCTCTCTGCCAATCCCTAGGTACCTCACCCTCTTCCATACATTTATTAAATAATTGCACCAACCACTCCAAAACTATATCCCCACCTGCTTTTAACATTTCTATCTTTATCCCATCAATCCTGGCTGCCTTACCCCCTTTCATTTTACTTAATGCCTCACGAACTTCCCCCACACTCACAACTGGCTGTTCCTCACTCCTACAAGATGTTATTCCTCCTTGCCCTATACACGAAATCACAGCTTCCCTATCTTCATCAACATTTAACAATTCCTCAAAATATTCCCTCCATCTTCCCAATACCTCTAACTCTCCATTTAATAACTCTCCTCTCCTATTTTTAACTGACAAATCCATTTGTTCTCTAGGTTTCCTTAACTTGTTAATCTCACTCCAAAACTTTTTCTTATTTTCAACAAAATTTGTTGGTAACATCTCACCCACTCTCTCATTTGCTCTCTTTTTACATTGCTTCACCACTCTCTTAACCTCTCTTTTTTCTCCTTATACTCTTCCCTCCTTGCATCACTTCTACTTCGTAAAAACTTCTCATATGCTAACTTTTTCTCCCTTACTACTCTCTCTACATCATCATTCCACCAATCGCTCCTCTTCCCTCCCGCACCCACTTTCCTGTAACCACAAACTTCTGCTGAACACTAACACTACTTTTTTAAACCTACCCCATACCTCTTCGACCCCATTGCCTATGCTCTCATTAGCCCATCTATCCTCCAATAGCTGTTTATATCTTACCCTAACTGCCTCCTCTTTTAGTTTATAAACCTTCACCTCTCTCTTCCCTGATGCTTCTATTCTCCTTGTATCCCATTTACCTTTTACTCTCAGTGTAGCTACAACTAGACAGTGATCTGATATATCTGTGGCCCCTCTATAAACATGTACATCCTGAAGTCTACTCAACAGTCTTTTATCTACCAATACATAATCCAACAAACTACTGTCATTTCGCCCTACATCATATCTTGTATACTTTTTTTATCCTCTTTTTCTTAAAATATGTATTACCTATAACTAAACCCCTTTCTATACGAAGTTCAATCAAAGGGCTCCCATTATCATTTACACCTGGCACCCCAAACTTACCTACCACACCCTCTCTAAAAGTTTCTCCTACTTCAGCATTCAGGTCCCCTACCACAATTACTCTCTCACTTGGTTCAAAGGCTCCTATACATTCACTTAACATCTCCCAAAATCTCTCTCTCTCTCTCCTCTACATTCCTCTCTTCTCCAGGTGCATACATGCTTATTATGACCCACTTTTCACATCCAACCTTTACTTTAACCCACATAATTCTTGAATTTACACATTCATATTCTCTTTTCTCCTTCCATAACTGATCCTTCAACATTACTGCTACCCCTTCCTTTGCTCTAACTCTCTCAGATACTCCAGATTTAATCCCATTTATTTCCCCCCACTGAAACTTCCCTACCCCCTTCAGCTTTGTTTCGCTTAGGGCCAGGACATCCAACTTCTTTTCATTTATAACATCAGCAATCATCTGTTTCTTGTCATCCGCACTACATCCACGCACATTCAAGCATCCCAGTTTTATGAAGTTTTTCTTCTCTTTTTTAGTAAATTTGTAGTAAATATGTTAATTATTATTATTATTATTTTTTTTTTTTCAACAAGTCGGCCGTCTCCCACCGAGGCAGGGTGACCCAAAAAAGAAAGAAAATCCCCAAAAAGAAAATACTTTCATCATCATTCAACACTTTCACCACACTCACACATTATCACTGCTTTTGCAGAGGTGCTCAGAATACAACAGTTTAGAAGCATATACGTATAAAGATACACAACATATCCCTCCAAACTGCCAATATCCCAAACCCCTCCTTTAAAGTGCAGGCATTGTACTTCCCATTTCCAGGACTCAAGTCCGACTACATGAACATAACTGGTTTCCCTGAATCCCTTCACTAAATATTACCCTGCTCACACTCCAACAGATCGTCAGGTCCCAAGTATCATTCGCCTCCATTCACTCCTATCTAACACACTCATGCATGCTTGCTGGAAATCCAAGCCCCTAGCCCACAAAACCTCCTTTACCCCCTCTTTCCAACCCTTTCGAGGACGACCCCTACCCCTCCTTCCTTCCCCTATAGATTTATATGCTTTCCATGTCATTCTACTTTGATCCATTCTCTCTAAATGACCAAACCACCTCAACAACCCCTCTTCTGCCCTCTGACTAATGCTTTTATTAACTCCACACCTTCTCCTAATTTCCACACTCCGAATTTTCTGCATAATATTTACACCACACATTGCCCTTAGACAGGACATCTCCACTGCCTCCAACCGTCTCCTCGCTGTTGCATTTACCACCCAAGCTTCACATCTATATAAGAGTGTTGGTACTACTATACTTTCATACATTCCCTTCTTTGCCTCCATAAATAACATTTTTTGACTCCACATATACCTCAACGCACCACTCACCTTTTTTCGCTCATCAATTCTATGATTAACCTCATCCTTCATAAATCCATCCGCCGACACGTCAACTCCAAAGTACGTATCTGAAAACATTCACTTCTTCCATACTCCTCCTCCCCAATTTGATATCCAATTTTTCTTTATCTAAATCATTTGATACCCTCATCACCTTACTCTTTTCTATGTTCACTTTCAACTTTCTACCTTTACACACATTCTCAAACTCATCCACTAACCTTTGCAATTTTTCTTTAGAATCTCCCATAAGCACAGTATCATCAGCAAAAAGTAACTGTGTCAATTCCCATTTTGAATTTGATTCCCCATAATTTAATCCCACCCCTCTCCCGAACACCCTAGCATTTACTTCTTTTACAACCCCATCTATAAATATATTAAACAACCATGGTGACATTACACATCCCTGTCTATGACCTACTTTTACCGGGAAGTATTCTCCCTCTCTTCTACACACCCTAACCTGAGCCTCACTATCCTCATAAAGCTCTTTACAGCATTTAGTAACTTACCACCTATTTTATATACTTGCAACATCTGCCACATTGCTCCTCTATCCACTCTATCATATCATATTATTATTATTATTTCTCTCAAATGTTTGTTGGGCTATCTTATTGAAACTTGGGCAATGTATGATGGAAAGATGCTTCTTAATATACACCAAAAATGAAAGAAATCAAACCATAAATAATGGAGTTCACTTCTCAGCCATTAGCAGCCTCATAGCGGTATATTTTCATATGGTTTTTATAGTTGTTTTCTTGCTTTTTGGTCACATTTGATAGAATGGAAGATATATTACAGAAATAGATATGATTTTGATTGCTTTCACAATGAAAAGTACCTTGAAATTGAGCTCAAAGTAGCAGAAATGTTCTATTCTTTAGCGATGTTCAAGAGTAAACAAATAACGTCACTATCTAATACGTGTGTGCCTGCCAGTCCAAATTCCAATACGCAGTCAAGAATGGGTTGACATTATTTATACAATTATTACAATAATGCAGTAGTCGGCATAACAGTAAATCTTCTATTTTTTGCGTGAATAAAAATTCCAAATGGTAAGCAAAAGTAAAATAAGAGGGGTCTGGAGCTGTATCTAATGAACAGAGAAAATGTTATTTTAGTGCCAGGAATGTCTGCATTGTTTATTCTGGATCCTATTTTGAAATTGGCATCTGCTGAAATTTGTGTGAAATTGGCCAAATTGCCAATTTCTGACCACTTTATTGCAGAGTTGAAATAGGCAAATGGGAGGTTTCTTGTACTCAGTTGACAGAATAGAAGCAAGTAAATAAGTAAGTTTATTCAGGTATACATAAATACAGTTACATAGAGTATCATACATAGCAGTGTATGTATAGAGAACCTAGGATAACCCAAAAAACGTCATACAAAGTGACTTATTTCCAGTACCTGGCCTGGGCTTGCTATATACATGTATATGATTGTTGGTAAATATTTTTTCTTTTCAGTTGTTTGTTAGGCTATCTTATTTCTTTTCCATCATACTTGGGCAATGTATGATGGAAAGCTGCTTCTTAACGTACACCAAAAAAGAAAAAAAATGAAAAGGATGAAAAATAAGGGGGTACACTTCTCAGCCATCAGCCGTCTCTTTGCAGTATGTTTTCATATGGTTTTTATGGTTGTATTCTAGTTTTTTTTTTTTGGTCTCATTTGATAGAATGGAAGATATATTACAGAAATAGATATGATTTTGATTGGTTTCACGAAGAAAAGTACCTCAAAACTGAGCTCAAAGTAGCGGAAATGTTCGATTTTTGCCGATGTTCAATGAACTTTGTGCAAGTCAAGTTGGTTAATTTTATTAAGTGTATTCTAACCTAACCACTCTGTAATCTGGCAAACTCGGTAATCCGGCACACTACAGGTCCCAATGATGCCGAATTTGTGATGGCGGACCTGTATTATACTATACGTACAACTTACATTTTTAACAACAGGAGAACTGACAGTATACTCTCCAATCAATCCAACAGGCCACATTGATACAGTTTCTGTTGATCTCATTTCTTCAAAAAGCCGAATATCTATAGCATTATCATCATCTAAAAAGAATAGGACTCCCGTGTTTTTGCCATAATCCCGCACCCACTGTAAGGCTGCTCTGCGATTGGACACACCGCGTGGCACATATCGTTCTTTACGATATACATCAGGCATTGGAGTAGCTAGATGCGTATAAGGAAGACCTGACAACATAAAAATAATTTATATAATTTTCAAAATTCTGGAAGAGGGATTCACAATTCTTTAACACAAGAGGTTTATCAGAATAAATATTTTATTTTGACCCTCAAATAATGGCAAACAGCTAATTAATGGTTTATAGATACATGATAACACAATACAGTGGACCCTCGAGTTTCGTAAGCCTCACGCTTTGTAAATTTCGCCTTTCGACAACTTTTTTTGTCAAAATATAGCCTCGCAGTTCATAATTTGCCTCGCCATTCGTCGGTCATCCGGAATGCGTACAAGTGGCCTCCCAGTACCCGTGTCACACAAAGGTGCCCCACACACCATTCCCAGTCAGTGTGTCATTGTTTATTGGTGAGTGACCATCACCCCACATGTTCATGTGATACATTTCATAATATTCCATTCTTTTTTGTGCTTGCAACTGCAAAATAAGTCACCTTGGGCCAAAAGAAAGCTCCTAGTGCCAGCCCTTTGGTAAAGAAGGCGAGAAACATGATACAATTCAAGGAAGAACACACCAGCCAGTGCACTTCCCTACACACCAGCCAGTGCACTTCCCTACACACCAGCCAGGGTACTTCCCTACACACCAGCCAGGGTACTTCCCTACACACCAGCCAGGGTACTTCCCCACACACACCAAGAAATCCTCTCAAGCAATTCTACTAGCAGCTAAAGGAGGAGCTTAGGGTTGCTATGCTCGAGATATGGCGACTGACACAGGAAAACAAGGATTCGTAGTAATCCTCCTGTTGGGAGTCCTCAGGTCAAGAGGAGAACCTGGTCAGCGGCCGGGCAACATGGAACGAAGCTAAAGATCAAGAAGACTGTAGGAGTGGCAGAAACAACAAAGAACTAGAAGACTACTGTGGAAACTTCCAACCCATTTTCAGTGCTACCCGATGAATGTGGGTTGTCTACTGGGAACATCACAATGAGCACCAAGGAAGCATTGGTGGATGAGAGCGAGTCAACATCCCTTGAAACCCCAACGAAGACCATCAAGAACATCACAACGAACTCCGCCAGTGAAGGTAAGAACATCATTTTAGTTGAGGACAGTCAGGTTAAGTTTATGGATAGGGCTTTTTGTCTTAGGGACAGGAAGAGGAGGCAGAGGGTATGTTTTCCTGCGGCTGGGATGGGGGATATTGTTAGCCATCTAGACGATATCGTGAAAGGTAATGGGAGCAATCCTATTATCTGCCTCAGTGCAGGAGGCAATGATGTTGGCAGACGTAGGAGTGAAGACCTGATTAGCAGGTATAGGACAGCAATAGAGATAATTATGAAAAAGGGTGGGAGCCCTGTGATATGTGGCATTTTGCCCAGGAGAGGAGTTGGAAATGAATGGTTGTCCAGGGCAATTGGTGTCAATTGCTGGCTGGACAAACACTAAGGAAAATTCAGAAACATTCATAGACAACTGGGACCTCTTCTATGGTAGAAATGACATGTATGTTAGGGATGGGGGTTCACTTATCTAGGTTTGGGGTGGGAGCACTGGCCAACACAGTGGAGGGAGCTCTTAGGTCTTTAAACTAGAAATAGATAGGGGTATGGGTTTTTGTGGAAAATCAATGAATTCTCAGTGTAGCGATAATGTGAGTTTTAGGGAAACCAGTAATAGGCAGAATGAGGTAGAGTTTTTTTTTATTTTTTTTTTTTTAAAGTCGGCCGTCTCCCACCGAGGCAGGGTGACCCAAAAAAGAAAGAAAATCCCCAAAAAGAAAATACTTTCATCATCATTCAACACTTACACCTCACTCACATATAATCACTGTTTTTGCAGAGGTGCTCAGAACACAACAGTTTAGAAGCATATACATATAAAGATACGCAACATATCCCTCCAAACTGCTAATATCCTGAATTTTAATATACACACACTCCCAAACTCGTCCACTAACCTTTGCAATTTTTCTTTAGAATCTCCCATAAGCACAGTATCATCAGCAAAATGTAACCGTGTCAATTCCCATTTTGTATTTGATTCCCCATAATTTAATCCCACCCCTCTCCTGAACACCCTAACATTTACTTCTTTTACAACCCAATCTATAAATATATTAAACAACCATGGTGACATTACACATCCCTGTCTAAGACCTACTCTTACTGGGAAGTAGTCTCCCTCTCTTATACACACCAAAACCTGAGCCTCATTATCTTCATAAAAACTCTTTACAGAATTTAATAACTTACCACCTATTCCATATACAGTGGACCCTCGACCAACGTTGGCATCGTCTAACGTTAAATCCGACTAGCGATACATTTTAACGCAAAAATTTTGCCTCGACTAGCGCTAAAAAACCCGACCAACGCTATTCGTTCTGTTTGAGACGCGTCCACTTATGGCCTGAGCACGCCTCACTTGTCCCGTGGGTGCTAGTGTTTACAAGCCAGCCAGCCACCGCGGTCCCATCCAAACATACAATTGGAACATTTCATATTATCACAGCGTTTGTAGTGATTGCACCTGCAAAATAAGTCACCATGGGCCCCAAGAAAGCTTCTAGTGCCCACCCTACAGCAAAAAGGATGAGAATTACTATGGATATGAAGAAAGACATCATTGCTAAGTATGAAAGTGGAGTGCGTATCTCCGAGCTGGCCAGGTTGTACACAAAACCCCATGACGATTTAATTAAAAAAATGCCAGCAACTAGTGATGTGAGTGAATTTAAGGCCAGCAAAGGTTGGTTTGAGAGATTTAAGTATCGTAGTGGCATACATAGTGTGACAAGGCATGGTGAGGCTGCCAGTTCAGACCACAAAGCGGCTGAAAAATACGTGCAGGAATTCAAGGAGTACATAGACAGTGAAGGACTGAAACCTGAACAAGTGTTTAATTGTGACGAAACAGGCCTGTTTTGGAAGAAAATGCCAAGCAGGACCTATATTACTCAGGAGGAAAAGGCACTCCCAGGACATAAGCCTATGAAAGACAGGCTTACTCTGTTGATGTGTGCCAATGCTAGTGGTGATTGCAAAGTGAAGCCTTTATTGGTGTATCACTGAAACTCCCAGAGTGTTCAGGAAAAACAATGTCCTCAAGGCTAATTTGTGTGTGCTGTGGAGGGCAAACAGTAAGCCATGGGTCACTAGAGACTTTTTCTATGACTGGTTATACCATGCATTTGCCCCCACTGTGAAAAATTAGCTCCTGGAAAATAAATTGGACCTTAAGTGCCTCCTGGTATTAGACAATGCTCCTGGTCATCTTTCAGACTTGGCAGAGCGACTTTCTGCAGACATGAGCTTCATTAAGGTGAAGTTTTTGCCTCCTAATACCACTCCTCTCCTGCAGCCCATGGACCAGCAGGTCATTGCAAACTTCAAGAAACTGTACACAAAAGCTATGTTTGAAAGGTGCTTTGTAGTGACCTCAGAAACTCGAACTGACTAAGAGAGTTTTGGAGAGATCACTTTAGCATCCTCAATTGTGTAAACATTATAGGTAAGGCTTGGGAGGAAGTGACTAAGAGGACCTTGAACTCTGCTTGGAAAAAACTGTGGCCAGAATGTGTAGACAAAAGGGATTTTGAAGGGTTTGAGGCTAACCCTGAGAATCCTATGCCAGTTGAGGAATCCATTGTGGCATTGGGGAAGTCCTTGGGGTTGGAGGTTAGTGGGGAGGACGTGGAAGAGTTGGTGGAGGAGGACAATGAAGAACTAACCACTGATGAGCTGCTAGATCATCTTCAACAGCAAGAGGCCACACCTGAGGAAACTGCTTCGGAGGAGGCGATAGAGAAATTGAAGTTGCCTACTTCTAAGATTAAGGAAATGTGTGCAATGTGGCTTAAAGTGCAAACCTTTTTTGATGAAAATCACCCTGACACAGCTACTGCAAGCAGTGTTGGCAACCTGTACACTGACAATGTTGTGAAACACTTTAGGAATGTCATAAAGTAACGGGAGGTACAGGCCTCTATGGACAGATATGTTGTGCGACAGAGGTCCAGTGACTCTGAAGCTGGTCCTAGTGGCATTAAAAGAAGGGAAGTAACCCCAGAAAAGGGAAATCCCCTTCCAAGTCCTAATGGAAGGGGATTCCCCTGCTAAACACTAACACAATCAACACTCTCCCCTCCTCCCATCCCATCAATCATCACCAGATCTTCTATAAAGGTAAGTGTCATGTAACTGTGCATGTCTTCTTCAGTTTGTGTGTATTAAAATTAATATTTCATGTGGTAAATTTTTTTTTTTTTCAATACTTTGGGGTGTCAGGAATGGATTAATTTGATTTCCATTATTTCTTAAGGGGAAAATTAACTCGACTAACGATAATTTCGATTAACGATGAGCTCTCAGGAACGGATTAATATCGTTGGTCAAGGGTCCACTGTACTTGCAACATCTGCCACATTCCTCCCCTATACTCTGTATGCCTTTTCTAAATCCACAAGTGCAATAAAAACTTCCCTACCTTTATCTAAATACTGTTCACATACATGCTTCAATGTAAACACTTGATCTATACATCCCCTACCCACTCTAAAACCTCCTTGCTCATCTGCAATCCTACATTCTGTCTTACCTCTAATTCTTTCAATAATAACCCTACCGTACACTTTTCCTGGTATACTCAGTAAACTTATTCCTCTATAATTTTTACAATCTCTTTTGTCCCCCTTCCCTTTATATAAAGGGACTATACATGCTCTCTGCCAATCCCTAGGTACCTTCCCCTCTTTCATACATTAAAAATACCAACCACTCCAACACTATATCCCCCCCCTGCTTTTAACATTTCTGTCATGATCCCGTCAGCTCCAGGTGCTTTACCCCCTTTCATTCTATGTAATGCCTCACGCACCTCCCCCACACTCACATCCTGCTCTACTTCACTCCTACAAGATGGTATACCCCCTTGGCCAGTGCTTGAAATTACCGCATCCCTTTCTTTGTCGACATTTAAAAGTTCCTCAAAATATTCTTGCCATCTACCCAATACCTCCATCTCCCCATCTACTAACTC